AGAGAGCAGCAGATGACCACGGTTCAGTGGGATGGAGGTCCACTGATTTGACTCTATCCGATCTTGTCAAAAACTTTCTACACACTTCCGATGACATCGACGTAGCTGCAACAATGAGCATAGAGGAACAAGAAGAAAACACGGAAGAAAACGAACACGCGACGGAACAGAACACAAAAATCCGGAAAACCGACGGAACTGCGGAAACAGGAGAAATTCTCTTGTGGAACAACTTTTTGCACAAAACATCACAGCCAAATGTGACCGCTCCTTCATTGCGAGCCCATGCAAGCATGAATCGAAGAAACAATGGTTTGAAATTAGGGAAAACTGCTTCATTTAGCGATCATTAGCCTAGCAAGAAGTCAAATTCTCGAAGTTTCCGCGTCGTCCGTGCAAGGTGCACCGATTTCGATTGGAGCGCGCTTTCCGAGGCCAATCATAACGCTGTGAACCCTATTTGGGCCTGTATCTAAGCGGTGCCTTGGTGGTTTTGGAAGCGGATTTGAACATGTAGTAATACTCTCGACCTAGGCCACATTTATGTAAAGAAATCCGGGAAATTATGTGAAGGGAAGCAGGGAGCCACCCCAGGTGGCTCCCAGGTGGCGCGGGAGCCACCTAATCTCGAAAAACACTTACCATTTTTTTCATTCACATAAGTTTTTCATAATTTTTCATACTTTTTTTTGTGCTCATGGTCCTCCAACTATACAGCAAATTTGGTGTCATATCGTTACTTGTGCATTGAAACCGAGCCTATATTGTTATTTTCCTCTTACAAGAATTGCGATTTGAATTCCCGCCTGCCGCAGGCTAGCGATCGGAGCACAGAATCTTCACATTGCTGGAATCTAAGTCCATAGGACAGTAGCATCAACAAGGAATGATGAATAAAGTATGATATGTGCATTTTATCGGTAAACAAAGGGGATCGTATTTTGGGGTCCGGGGCTCCGCCCCGGACCCCAAAATACGACTTCTCCTTTGCTTTTTCGGGCCAAAAACGATATCCAGCTTGTGAAAGCGCCACCCCCGCCGGGCCCTGCTCCTCCCTTTTCGGCTTGGATACTAGGCTCTGCAAGTTGTCGACGATTCTTTCGGCCTGTTCACTGAACTGCTGATGGCGAGTAAATTGAACTTGTCTGGCTTTTTCAGAATCGCGGATTTCGGCTGTCCTGAATTGAGATATATCATAAGAAACAAGTACCTCGGCACTTCCAAATTGACTGGATTTTGAACGGGTTTTGCCGAATATCTTGCTCTCATTCGCTTTTTCGAGCACAAAGGCAGCCGTTGCTTTCGCGCTGTCTTCTGTTTTGGGTTGAAACACTTCTGCGAACTGTGTTGTCAGGTGAGTTTGCTTTTTGTCAAGTGTATCGTTCGTAGCGGTCACTGAATTCAAATTGTGACAGCCGATATCACTGTGAAAGGCACAGTCGCTCTGCTTCCAATGCACTTCAAGTAGAGCTGGTCCATCAAGTACATTTGTGGTATCATTCAAGATGCCATTTAGCGCATGCTCACAGGTGCCGTGTCCTTGGCATGTAATGCTGGTCCCATTAACAGCAGTCGATTATGTTTCGGGTTCTTTAGCTTGTGTCGGCCAGTCTTGATCCATGTGTCGCGATCTTCAGCTCCACAGTCAAGTCGTAATTCGATACTTGTGTTGTTGGTTTTCACATTGCAGTACGACTTCGTTTCTTTAGGCAATGAGATGACGACAGGATGGACGTCCTTGGCTTCATCGACAAATAGTTTACGTAGACAGCACCTCTCTAGATGTCCACGCTTCTTGCATAGTTGCATTCAGTGATCGGCTTCTCGCACTTCCTGGTCCTATGGGTCTTCGCTCCGCAGTTCATACAAAGATGTGTTCTGGGCTTGTGACCGATGAATGGCTTCCGCTTCTCGTCTCGCTGCATCGCGTTGACTTGCGGGTTGTCGTTCATCTGATTCACGCTGACCTGAGATACCTTGGCTTTGTCGATCATCTGTATATGATCCTGCAGTTCCAAGTAGTCTTTGTACTCTTCGTTGGATTCTTGCTTCGTCAGTTCAGCCATGGGTTCTCGACAAGACTTCCACAGTTCCATGATTTGCTTCATTAGAAGGTGGATCGTGTCCGTGTCCGAGCTTGAGTTCGGGTCCTGATCGAATTCTGGTAGACGAGTAGCGAGTGCATTCATCACGTAATCCTCGCTGGATCCTTGTTTCTTCTTTACTTCTTTCCGCAGCTCCATGATTTGCAGCATCAGAAGGTGGGTTGGGTCCATGTTGGGGGTCGGGTCCGGGCTCGGGTTCGGGGTCTGATCGCCAGTTGTTGTGTTTGCCATGGCGTGTGTAGGAAGACGATTGGAGACCGAGTTCTTTACTTGGCGATAGGGAACTAAGAATAAACTATACTTACTAAGGAATGCCTATATATAGTGCACACAACTATATCACATATCATGAACAACAGATCAACATATTCCTTCACTCTTCTCGAGCATTGGTTTCTTGTGCGGCTGCACAACAGGGTTTGTCGCCGAACGCCTTACACCCGGAAGTGCAAAGCTACATTTTGTGTTTTTTTGTGCAAAATTTGCATACAGAATAATAGAAACCATGGTGATGTATGGCCTCTGTGACTATTTTTTGACTGCATCTTTTGTCGGATGCAGATACAATAAGACGGTAAATGTGTTATTGAGTGTAACATAGGTGAAAGAAACGCATATTTTCCGCATCAAAAATGTCAACAACGAGGTTCCGTTGCCTTTCAAGTTTTGGCTCTAACTGGCATGTGCATCGAGAGTCCTAAAAGCTTTCTGCATAATATGGCTCTTCACTATTCCCTTTATAAAATAAATGGAGATGATAAGGTTTTTTTACGGCCACACTAGGAGCATAAATCATATCTCGACAAAATGGATGAGAGTCAACGCAAGCTAATCGTATTCGCTGTTTCCTGTAGAGGAATTTCGAGAAGGCAGAGCAGACCATTGAGCCAGTGGGCATGACCTATGTAGCTCCGCATGCTAATCTGATCGCTACTGCGTATCGTCCCACTAATATTGCTCCGATACTGTACCATATATCTATTTTACGACTAGGAGACGCGTGACCGCATTGCTTACATTGTCCTAACATGTTTGAGTTTGTTCTTCCCTGTTTCCAGAGAGTAATAAACTTGGACGAGATAAATGACAAGTATAAACCTGCAAAGTACACGATTAAGCTTGTTTAGACATTGTGTGCAATGCAATCTCGCGTCTCCTAGTAGTAGAATGAATGATAATTTCTTAACGAGGATATCAAACGAAAATTACTTTTGTTTGATCGAAGATTGGCGGTCGATACTTCTTGGTGGGCTTTGAATTTTGTAGCGATATGCAGACGAGCTTCAGGCTTGCTACAGCCGTCAGGTGTTCCAAGCAAACTCTCGCATGTGTTTCTTTTTATTTTCTAGTAAGTCTAATGTATAAATGAATTCACATATTTTTTCTCAAAGGAGGATTCAGTGAGACTACGTTTTCAATGGCAAGAATATTCCGATTGTCGTATCGGAAGTGCAAAATTTCGTCAATCTTTTTTTGGAATGTCAAACATCCTTAGAGAGCACTATTTGAACAAATCGCGTAGGTACTGGCTGATGAATATCGTCAATATGAGCAAGCTAGACTCTTTCGTAATGCTACTTTAATCTGTACATATGAAATCAGAGCTCTTCATACAAAATCTCGATCGGAAGGACTTCAAATAATGGTCTGATTCGCTTACACTTCCAAATCTGTTCCACATTTGTACTGAACTTGTGGTTGGCAAAAATAAAAGATGATGATATTATGAGCATTTGTAAGCACAATATCTATTACCATAGTGAGATAAGGACGTATGGTCGGGCTTGTTTGCCAAACTGTAAGTAATCTGTGTAGGGTACAAAACACACTACAGTCTCAGATAAACAATCTGCAAACGCCTGCTCTGTAACGGTGTTTGCGATGCACCTTTTCTCAAATAATTGGCAAATTGAAGTGCTTAGCGATACTTTATATAATAAGCAACACATCCCCAATCGATTTTACTAATTTGGGTAAATCGGTAACCTCTTGGTGCAGCTTTTGGTAGTTGCTTGTTTCTTTGTACATATACATACCTATGTTTCCTCGCATGTCTACCAAAAAATTCTGTCTGAGCATATTGCAGCTAATCTTTGTACTGGAGATTTTTTGAGGTGGGTGACTGCGAATCATGATCCAATTTACATTCATGCAAATTTAATTTTTGGAAAGTTAGCGGAATAAAAAAGCGATGATTTATGTCGTAAAACGTAATTCTTCGACTTATTACCAAAGTGGCCTTAATCACCTCAAAAGCTGCTTGCTAGAATACAAAATTCGTTTCAAGTCATGTGTGGAAACAACGGAACTTCACATGAATGTTTTAATCCATAAAAAATGCACAAAAATTCTGGGGATCACAGTCTCAAATCGAAAATGTTTCAAGTTATGCCAATAAATTCTGTTCCTGTTGAAAGACAAAATAGGCAAGTGACCAAATATCTGGCTAGGAACCCGTAGGCTGACAACTTTGAAAGGCTTCTGTTGCGAGCTTTCGAATTATTCGGCTTTTCTTGTGACAAGCGGAGAACTTGCGCCCTAAAGGCCCTTCTCTAAAGCCCTGTTTTAAGAACAGAAAGCTTTTACAACACACAAGCTTTCCATCAAACTGCTTGGCTATTTATAAAATGTTCATGCATGAGTGAGACAAAACTTTCATCATAAAACGAAAATAGTTTACAAAAAGGTGTTTTGTACAAAAAGAGAAGTAGCTTATTTGGAGCACAAAGTGTCAACTGCTCAATGAAAAAGTGAAAAGAATCTCTAATGTGCTTAAGTTAATTATTACAAACATGTGTAGCGAATGATAGGATTAGAGTATTTTAATTGCAAGAGAAAGTTATAAGCATTAAACTCGTATACCAGATAAGAGGTGAAAAACTTATAGAGATTTACTCATAGGGAGTCTTTTTCTTGTGCTGAAGATATGAGCAAGTCCTTCAAAGCTGTTCTCACTTCCATAGCAGCCGTCGGAGGGTGAGTCACCTAGAATTTTTTGCCTAGAAGCAGTAAAAAAGCAAATGTTTGTACCTTGATAGTTTTTATGCCTAAATCTCTCGCCGCTTTCACATTTACTCCAAGGTCATCAAGAAACATGCATTCTTCTGGTTTCAACTGAATTAAATATGATTAACCATGAGGAAAGAAGTCTACATATTTTGAAATTAACCTCTAATAGCTCGCATGTATGATGATATATGGCATCTTCAGGTTTTCGCATTCCAACTCTGCACGACTCGACGACCACGTCAAAGTATTTCTCGAGTCCTTTCGGGAGAGTAGGAATTTGCCGATCTCGATCGGCAAGGAAGTTATTGGTAAGAAGAGCTACCTTGATTCCAGCTTTTCGTAAGTCCTGTGCCATCAATAATTAGGAACTCCTTTGTCGCAAAAATCAAAATATTAGATTACCTTCAGTAATTCAATCATTTCCGGAACCAAATGAATGTCATACAATTTCTTAACAACCGATAAAATCAATGGAACCCGCTCTTCATTGCGTCCATACTAAAACCAGCGCAATACACAAGACTTCATGAATACGCATATATATGCACAACTGCGCACCTCTGCTTACCTGCTTATTGTAGAATTGTGTGAAAATCGGATCAAACTCTTCGGCTGTAATTTCCCCTCTTTCTAAAGCTTCCGTATCCGTTTTCAAAACTGGGTCCAGCATGGCAGCAAATAATGAGCCTTTGTCAATTTTTAGGTCTGTTTCCATCCCTAAAACAATTATGAGTCAAAATGTTACGTGCCAAACGTTGCAAAATATGGGAAATTTTTAGGTGATTAACACTCACCTATCCACATTCCAGAAGGTGACTCTATCAAAACGCCTCCCATGTCAAAAATAACAGCCTTGATAGTCATATCTGAATTATTATCAACTAATTATTAATTAACTATTACCCTAATTTCACGCGTATAAAGCGCACTTTTTCGAATTTTCAGGCGAGCCGCTCAGCCGCTTTACTGTATTCCGGAAAGAAATCCTTACATCTCACGATTCACTCAAGCTATATACAACACGTTATAGGGTCTTTTGGCTGTAATGTCTTTGGCGTGTCTGGGCTGGTCGATCTTGGAAAAAAATCCCCTGCGCCTTATACGCGTGAAATTAGGGTAGTAATTATTTGGTTAATCTAAACAGCGACGAGGAATTGAACAAAGATAATCGAAAATTATGAAAATACTTCACTTCCTGCATTTTTATTCGGTAGGTACTGAAGTACTGGTCAGAAAGTGATTAAAAAGCATTAGTATTAGCTAGCAGTGGCTACAAACCGTTGGACATGGAGACATGATGATATTCTGTTTATCTTTCACGTTGCAACAAGAAATGTCTAAAGTGATGGGAAGCATCTAATCAGTTTCCAGGCGAAGACAAAAGGATATTTGATATCTCTGTCACAAATATAAGAGTGACTGAAAAAAAATTTGCGCCCGTACTTGATAGAATACTCAAGTCTTCTTTTTACGTACTTTCTGTTGCATTCATCTTCAGATTCTGATGTTGGCATAAATTCAAACGTTGAAAGAAAGTTATTGAAGTCATTTTTTGTGTTTTCTTTCTAAATAACATTTTCAAAGGTTTCAGTTATCATTGTCATAAATGCATTATAACAATTTTCACTGCAACAGGAAATTAGAATTACTAGTAGCTATTTCGATTTCAAACAAAAAATACGCATCATTTTTTTGTTATATCATTGTTCAACAAAAGATGGGTAACAGATGAACGAGTAATGAGGAAAGTAAAATTAGTCTTCACATGAAATTTCGGGTAGATCTTTATACATAAAGTAAAGTAAAGTCCCGCAGAGGCTGGTTGAGAGAATGGGGCGAATAATTGCAAGAACGAATGAGAGACAAAAAGAGGAAGAATCATGCCAAACAAATCATAAGAAGTCTGAAGCGTAGTTTTTATACTGAGACTACAAAAAGTCACAACAAAAGTTCATATCATCATTTGTGAGCGCAAGTCACAAACTCTGCGTGTGAGCAATCATTCAGCAGATGTTTGCTCGAGAGTGGTTGCCTAACACACGCTCGCTGATATGGAATGAGAGTTCACACATTCAGGGGGGGGGGGGTGTTCCGAGCAGAATACGGATATAATGCCCGTTACTGCGTTGTGAACGCATTTGATAAGAATTTCTCTACGATGGCTGAAGTCACCAAGCAACTTCGATAAAGCAATATCTTAGCTGATATAATTTTGAATCACAACATTTTGTCTGGAAAATTCGGCTGCCATACTGAGGAAGAAGTATGACACTGGGGCGACGGCTAATTTCTGATAGAGATTTACGTTTCAAATAGCATTTTGGGAGAGAGAACTATATTTCGAAAATTCTAGAAATCATTATGTTTCTTTCATATAACACGGACATAACAAGAAGGATTCGAGATTGGGTTTGTCTAATACTTTTTCACCTGTGGCTTCTGAAATGCTAAAGAGACCAAATTTCCAATGGGCACGGCCAAATTACATGATAAAAAGGTTTGAGACCCTAGATGCATCGAGAAAGTTTCAAAGAAAAAGAAAATTCGGACATATTTACTGGTAGTACATACGTCTGCATTTGCAGCATCGAGTCGGTAGATAGACTTTGTACAAGGTAAAGTTTAAAACTTTTAAACTTTAACAGTTTGGAATATTTTGGAATTCTGTATTACAAAGAATTATTGGAAGAGATAATCCGTCAACCTAGTAGAATCTATGCTTATCAATACAAACTCATTTTCCTGAATCAATGCGACAAAAAGAAATTGTAGGGACTGTTTAGTCGGATGATTTTGTATAACAATTGGTTTGGAGAAGCCTTTCCTGTTTTATTGCAAAGAAAAGGAAATGTTTACGACCAAGGACCTTGAAGTTGACGAATCCCAAATTAGTTATGCGTGACGTCCTACAATCGATATGCGCATAGACACGGAGCTCAAAATCGGTTGTGAGAGCGCAGTGTAAGGCCTTGTAGCAGCATTGCGTGGCAAGTTACCATGTGGACAAATGCAAAACAAACAATACATAGAGGAAGATAGAGACAATTTTGCTGAACAATTGCCTAGACTGGGTTGGTAAAAAAGCCCCCTCCCCCCACAAAATTTTGAAAACTAAGAAGCTTTTTTTTACATTTTTTTAATAAACTGCAAAACTTGGATTACTAGCTATTGCGGGTTTTATTCTGTTTTTTTGTGACCTTTCTGATTTGTGGCAATCTGGGAAGTTCAGGGCCTCAGTACTTTGACAAACAGCAAATTTTTGCTGTGTCTCGTTTTCACCTTTGATACCTATTCTACAATTGATTTATTCTTTGAATTTTGTGAATTCAGAGGAAACGATTGGCAGACAGAGTAAAGTCTTAGGTATGCTGGGCAATGTTTGAACGAGTCTTGTTATAAATTTCGAGTTTCATTTTTTCGCGAGAATAATAGCTTTTCGTGAAATACAGTAACAAAACAATTCTTCCAAAATTTTTTGAAATTTTTTTACCTCTGCAGAATCAGTCATCAGTGAATTACAAAACTTTTTACACCTTGAATGTCTTGCGGCTTTGTGTAACCAATCAGGCCGAACTCGTGCAACACAAAATGAATGATCACCAATAACGATGGCGTCTTCCAGGAGAACGGAAAGCTGAGTGATACATATTCAAATACCGCGCTCATTGTCTCTAATATTATATCAATCTCAAAGATTCTTTGTTTCAAGAAAAGTGACAAAACGGATACAGCTGATTTTGTTTCATAATTGAACACCCTTTTTGCCAGTTTTCAAATACGTACATCGCTCATTGTTGTAGATTTATAGCCAATATTGCTGCAGAAGTGAGCTAGCTCCTATTAGGAGTGAAATTTTGAAGATAGGTTAAAATGTCCATTATTTGGCTGCGAAGACGTTGCTACAATACTCGCCATCTATAAAAACCACTGTACTCCCCAAGTGCGCCGAACTTTGCGTCGCATCGCCATATCTTGCTTCAAAGTTGACGAATTCTGCATCTATAGCACCATTCAACTCATATTATCGAGATAGCCTTTTGGGCTCTGTAGTCGGTAAAAACACGGATACGTCTAGATTTTCGCTCACGGTCTTGCTCAATTGCACAACGAGTGACCTACCGTAGGCAAAAATCTGGAAAGGTCTGTGAAAGCTGACCTACTACCGTGCCCAAACGGATAATTTTACATGTCATAAGAAGCAGTTGAACTAAATGAATACTGAAATCTTCGTCCATTCAGAACAAGACATGGCGATGCGTCCAAGTGAGGCAAACCCGGCCTCAAGCCTTCTGAATCAGGCTTCTGGCCTAAGGAATAACGAAGATGGGTGGGTGATAGGCTGACATCTTACACTTGCCATCAACGATGCTGCGAAGCTTGCTCCAATTTCTTACTAGCTTTGCCGTAAGACTAAGGAGTAACTTATCGTTAGACTTAGAAGCATGGAAAGATGAAAAAATTTCGCTTTAGTGTGGTTTTCCAAGACTTATCAGACTCAAACATTTGGTTTTTTTCAGATCAAATCTAAGTTGGCTACTTAGATAAACGCCGGGGGCAGGCGGCCGTACGATTTATGGGCAAGCGAGCGTCGCAAAAATAGTTTGCTGATTTCTTGCGGTCCGCTTGCAGACATTTGGAAGAATGTTGGCAAAACTCTAGACGATTACTCAAGGAACAATTGCGGCTGCAAAATTATTGAAGGCCGCATGGTCCTCTGTGAAGGGCCGCACAGCCCATAAGTAGCTTCCGCTAAGAGAAGGTACCTTAAACGGGTAAACACCTCTGCCATGTATCGTCTTACCTTTGCTCGGCGTACCCCCCCCCCACCCAAACTGCGTTAAAAGTGCCGAGCGCCCGCCGAAAATTTGGTCAGCGCTCCCTGAAAGAATTTTTTTGACGACCGCTCGAGAAAATTATGTATTGCTGCCCGCTGGCAGATCATGCGACAGCAAAGGAAGTACCGCTCGCTAAAGGTTTGACCACGCCCCAAAATTCTGCTGACCGCCTGCAAGAAAGCGCAAGTTTGCGGACCGCCTGCCCACGGCGATTAAGTAGATGCTCGGTTACCTAATTAACTTCGAACTTTTGATTTATATTGAAATTATCATCCGGATACAAAAAATAATAAAAAGGCATGTAGCAAGGTTTTGCACATGCTTAGGGTACGAGTCAAGAATTACGATAGCTGGCCGTAGATAGCATGCTGGACACCTGGGCGTCAATAAATAGAGTGCAGGTACAGGGCTCATAAATTGCAGAGTCGTTTGCACCAGCTGTCGCGCGACCGCGTCGCGCCCAGGCATTTTTCCGGCGCCGGCGCCATCGATCGAGGCCGCGCCATTGATGTCCGGGCGCGACGCGGTCGCGCGATTGCTGGTGCAAACGACTTTGCAATTTAGGAGCCCTGTAGCTCCGCCCCCGTCTGTACGATTCCTACGCAGCCCAAGCGGTTCGTAGGGAGCATGCACAAGTTGCCCTAATTCATTCACTACCTTCTTCACCACGTTAAAACTAGCTCTTCCATGATATTGGCGATCGAATATCAGTTGAAAAGAGGTACTGAATGCAATTGCTCGGAAAATCCTCGACCCAGAAGCTTTCGCTACTTGTGATTTTTTGATGCACCGCCGGAAATTTATGCGCAAGATTGGCGAACACGGGATTTTTTAAGGCCTCTCTTCTTAATGTGGATGAAGGAAACTGTTATGCTAAGGTTGAGACACCGCAGAATGATGTCTTGCCCCGTTTGAACATTGCATTGGGCGTCAAAAACTGTGAAAGGTGTGAAGGATTTGTACATATTTGGTAACAACATCTCCATTTTAGTCCTAAATTTCCCATTCCTCCGGCTTTCATCGTAACGC